AGGTGGGTAGGTTGGTAGTAGGTAGGTAGGTAGGTGCGTCATGATGTGAAAAAATATTAAATACATAATTGTTATTTTGGTGCGAATGAATGTTGTTACGAGAGATATGACGAAAGCATGTTTGATGACGCGGATGAAAGAGAGTGAAGTTTTGCCATAGGAATGGGTTGTTATGGTATGCAAGCTAGGTAGTTCGGACTAGGGAGAATGTGAAAGATACTTCGTGTAATGTCGATAGTTTTATGTTTATTTATACGAGAATAGTAGTTGAATAATTATTGACCAAGAAAATAATAGGCATTGTGTAAAGCGATTATCGCCTGTATCATTGTGATGGAAATGCACATGGTAGTGGTACGCTTTAAATGGTAGTAGATCACGTGATCAAACACGACACTCTCACAGCAGCCCTAACAGTCATGTATAAATGTGCCATCTAGTCCATATAGGTCTTTGTGCTAAATTTCTCTTTTGCACATTTTTCGTTGTGTTTTTTCTGGTTGCGCATTTTTCTGTTTGCGCTTTTTCTGTTTGCGCTTTTTACCGTTTGCACTTTTTTCCGTTTGCGCTTTTTTCCGTTTGCGCTTTTTTCTGTTTGCGCTTTTTTCCGTTTGCGCTTTTTTCTCTTTGAGCTTTTTTCCGTTTGCGCTTTTTTCTGTTTGCACTTTTTTCTGTGTGCGTTTCTTTCTGTTTGCGTTTTTTTCTGTTTGCGCTTTTTTCTCTTTGCGCTTCTTTCTGTGTGCGCTTTTTTCTCTTTGCGCTTTTTTCCGTGTGCGCTTTTTTCCGTTGCGCTTTTTTCCGTTGTGGTTCTTTCCGGCCACCGAAGTAGCCTATAGAGAAAATCTTGTTATCGTGCAAAAAAAATCGAGATTTTTACAAATCTCGACGTTTTACACCTCACTGATACGGAAAAACATAATTTTGCAATCTTGTCCGTATGTCTGTGTGTCTGTGTGTGTATAAACACGATAACTTGAGTACCGTTACAGCTAGGTTGATGAAATTTCATATATAAGTATTTTATCAAAATCGTAGATCCGTATCAACTTTTGAGCGATTTCCAAAACCGGAAGTGGTACTTTTTCTACTTTGAATTTTTCAAAAGTCTATAACTTGAGTACTATTTTAGATAGATAAATGAAATTTCACATGTAAGTAAAAGATCTAATTCTCTACCTTCTGTCAAATTTTGAGTAATTTCCGTTGACTGGAAGTACTAATTTACGCTATTTTTGATTTCTCAAAAAACGCATGTAAATTTATAAAGTACTAATAATATTGCGCACTATTATGCACGTTTCATTTGGCGTTCACCTGGTGTGCAATTCTTTTTTCTACGAGATATTATTCTATTTTAAAATCTTTAAGTATTTAAAATGGAGTTCCCATCCCCTGTTGTTTTATATAAGAATATTCGAGAAAGTTTAGAGGAGATCACTCCCGGTTTATTTATTTTTTAAATAAGTGTTGAGTATCACATTTATTTTCATGAAAACACAACACGTCGTCTTATTTTTAACACTAAAACGTGTGTTGGTGGAATTCAGTCACCTGATGTTTGAAAAGAATATTCCAATCAAGGGACGACAACTCACATTTGTGTGATGACAGAAAAAAAATATTTCTAAATTTTAACTGTTCCCTTCCTGTGCAAATTTATATATACCTAACAATAACTTCACATAAAATAATTTCACGCAAAAAAAATTTACACAAAATAACTTCACGCAATATAACTTGACGCAAAATAAATTCACGAAAATTAATTTTGCATAAAATAACTGCACACAAAATAATTTCATACAAAATAAACCTCAGACATAAAAGAACATCCAGGAAATAAAAGTATCCACCAATACTTTCCTTACAAATATATTTTTTGAATATATGTGCAGATATTTTAACGACGTTTTCCTTTTGTTCACATCAGTGGCGTAGGCAGGGGGGGGTTAGGGGGGGTCATAACCCCCCCCATAGACCCCTCGGTATATATAAAAAGTATGAGGGGGGGTGCAAATCGAAAGTTTGAGGGGGGGGTGCAAATCGAAAGTTTGAGGGGGGGGGTGCAAATCGAAAGTTTGAGGGGGGGGGTGCAAATCGAAAGTTTGAGGGGGGGGGTGCAAATCGAAAGTTTGAGGGGGGGGTGCAAATCGAAAGTTTGTCCCCGGGTAAAAATTGGAACCCCCCCCTTGAGACGATCCTGGCTACGCCACTGGTTCACATAATTCAATTTTAATGCCTTTTTAAAAAAAAAAATGGCTAGGGCTAAAGCTCATGTTTATTTTATTTTTAGCTGCCACTATGCATCTAAAACCAATATGATTTATCCTAATTTTAACCAAGGCCAAATCTCGTAATGTATATTTCAGCTGTCACCATGCACCCAGTTCTCAGGTTATTTATCCTAATTTTATCGACCAAATCTCGTATATTTCAGCTGCCGCCATGCACCCAGTTCTCAGGTTATTTATCCTAATTTTACCCATGACCAAATCTCGTATATTTCAGCTGCCGCCATGCACCCAGTTCTCAGGTTATTTATCCTAATTTTGCCGACCAAATCTCGTATATTTCAGCTGCCGCCATGCACCCAGTTCTCCTCAGAACTCACAAGCTCCCGTCAACCTTCACCTTCCAGCCCAGCCACAAGTTCGGCACGACCCTCAGGAAACAACAGAACCAGCGGGGTCAGTACGACAGCCGCTACATCCTCCCCTCAATCGACCTCAGGTACTACAGCCGTAGCAGCCGACAGGATCCTGTGCTCGGCCTCCCCAGCCGACATGACCCCGGGCTTGACCTCCTCACTCGACATGACCCCGGGCTTGACCTCCTCACTCGACATGACCCTGATTTCAGTCTTACCAGCCTGGATCGAAGTCTCGGTGCCATCTTGGCGAAAAGGTCGTCTTAAGAAAACATAGTGTGGACTTTCACTTCGCTACAGTCTTTGTTCGCTTGAGTCTCCACGATGATAAAGGGACATAATCCGACAACCTCATTGAATTTAAATATATTAGTATTATTAGATCGTCCTGACTGCTAGTAAACATGGTTAGGGAAACGAAGTGATTCACACAACAGCTTAGAGCTGCAGTTATAATTGTATTATAGGGTAAAATCTGTGTCAACACACACAAGCACATACATGTACAGAAGCAATATCATTAGGGCCCCGACCTAGTTTCAGATGTGTCTAATTTGTTGTTTTTTTTCAGAAGACCCAGATAGGTAAAATAGAAACTAATGCTCCATGTTGAACACTTATGTACGTGGCAATAAAAGATCACTGACATCTCATTAAATAAAAATTGTGTTTTGTTTTCTTTGACACTTATTTTATTTCGTGCAGGTTTAGGGGATCACACGTAAATGATGTTACGCCCCTATCAGCCCATTTTACCCCACCCATCCGAGCCCAGTTTTCACTTGTCGTCACTAAAAGCGACCCCTACCCCTAAAATTGCTTCACTATATTTATCCCCCCCCCCCCCTCTCCTTATCTATCTTTCTCTACCAATTAAGCTTAATTTCGATAATTTCAATTAAGACTATAAATGTATATCGAACTTTCTGAATTCACTTTCCTATTTTCAGTTATCTAAACTTCATTTTTTCTCCGGTTGGGGGTGAGGGGGGGGGGAAGAACACTCTCGGTGGAAAATTTCAAGTGCCCCATCCCCCACTGAATAAAACAGGAATTAGATATCTGTTTTGTAGCCCAAGCTTATGAATACATTTTATTGACAGTGTGAGACGATGTATGCCTACTTATTTACTAAAGTAAACTTTGGACTACGACAATTACTGCAAGAAACACATTTTGAAAATACGAACGCTCAAACTGAAAAAAAAAAAAAATAGAAAAAATAGAATGAAAAGCTTATCTTTAGACGACTTTAGAATACGTTACGATTGTGATATAATACTTATATATGAAATTTCATCAACCTAGCTGTAACGGTACTCAAGTTATCGTGTTTATAGACACACACACACAGACACACACACATACACACACACAGATATATGGACAGGATTGCAAAACTATGTTTATCCGACTCAGGGAGCTGTAAAACGCCGAGATTTTTATTAGCACGATTACAAGACTTTCTCTATACTTCGTATATAGGCCTACCAACCCACCCTTGCATTACGGGGTCTGGGAGTTCCGCTCCTGACACAATGATTCGATTTACATCTCAACCAGAGGCGTAGCGAGGGGGGGGGGGGGGTCGGGGGTGCGGACCGCACCGCACCGGGTGACACCATTTAGAGGGGTGACACCAAGGCAAAAAATAGCAACATATATAGAGAAAAACTTGAGGGGGGTGGAAATCAAAAGTTTGAGGGGGGGGGGGGGGGGTGGTGCAAATCGAAAACTTGAGGGGGGTGCAAATCGAAAGTTAGAGGGGGGTGCAAATCGAAAATTTGTCACCGGGAAGGGTCGCTACGCCTCTGGGGGGTGACACCATTAAGTGCCGCACCGGGTGACACCCGACCTCGCTACGCCACTGACCTCAATATAATTATAATTGCGGGATTTATAGATAACAAAATAACAAAAGTAGTAAATAAGGAACTTATTTTAAGCATGTGAAACAGATTTTCTTTCGGGGAATTTGTATAGACCATACCATTTTACCAGTGTCCGCCCCCCCCCCCCCACCTCCCGGAAAAATAATTAATCCGCCCGCCCCCACTCCCGAAAATATCAAGTGCCCCCCCCCCCCCCCCCCCCACCCCCCGCCCCGGAGAAAGTCTATAAGAAACACTGATGTGAAACATTATTTATTAATCAAGTAGTATTCTATACTTTATTTAATAATGCGTGTGTATTGTTACCCTCACCAGAATAAAAAAAAGGCTGGCTAATCGTACCAAATATGTTACTGTGCATTACTATTATTAACTAGTCCTAACAGCCTAATGGTATGGAATCTATAAATATTTTCATAGAGTGACTTCCCCTACTCAGGAAAACAACAAAGTGGACCGGAAGTTTACATTTTTTTATTATCAACAAATCGATTACTAAGAGTTTATTTTGTCTGAGTAATCCTTTTTTAATTATTTTAATCCTACATCACATACAATTATTTAAAATGGGATTATTTGGAAAATCGCATCAACCAGATCCCAAGGAATTAGTAAGTTTACTATAAAAATTGTGGAATCTTATTTATTTTCCTTAGAACTTACTTAACTGCTCTCTTCAGTCAAGCGCAGCACCACTCAGACCTCATCCGACATCTCACATTATTTCACAATCAATCATGAATCACATCGTTCACCATTCTTCTTCACTCTTGCTTTTCTTGCTAAGAACTAGATTACTACTACTAGCAGCTTAATCATTATCCTGACCTCATTCTTTTTACGAAGTGACTACTCGGAAGATTTTTCTCCCCAACGTCTCCACTTAGTCGACTTAGTCGGCAAAAGATAGCTCTGCACATGCGCAGCGACCTATGGCTAGGGTTAAATTAGTGATAAGATTAGGGATAGGATTAGGGTTGGTGTTAGGGTTCTGCGGTTGTAAACACACGCATGCTCAGTACCATCGAAAACATTGCCGCGATGGAAAGTCGTAGTTTCTCTCCATTGCGAATGCGTATCTTTTTCTGGCTAGCATCAGCCTTCTAGTTATAATTTATATGCTTCTGAACTAGTCTAAGTTTCTACTCTCATTAAATTTTACGAAGTGACTACCCCTCTCGCAGAGCGTAGCCCCTAAAGAATAGACTATGTGTCTCGCAGGTTGGATTTGCCATCGTATAATTGAAAATGCTTACTTTTTTCTTTTCTATCACATCTGGTATGGTTGAGTCAACAGTTTGCCAGCTGTAGACAGTAGTTCATAGACCCGAGTTCCGGGTTCGAACCTGGGGTAGCACGACTGGTACTAGGATTTATTTTTACATTTTTTTTTTCATATTTAAAATATGACGTATGATTCTTTTTTTTTTTTAAATAAAATTTCCAAACACAGTCACTGGCTTGATTGCTTGCTTGCCTTACGTTTACTATCCCGTGAGTGGAAAATCCCACCACGGCCCACCAGGGCCCACGGTCGGCAAGGTCACTGTGAGTTCAGCAGGTCTAAAGCATACGTCATAGAATGAACACAAGTTCATGAGATCATCTGTCTTCACTTCTCTCTTCCTCCCAACCCCCCCCCCCTCCCCGCTCAAGCAAATTAAAATATTTTTTTTAAGTTCACATAGGATAAATAATATAGACTTAGATCTACTATCATGCATGCTAGAGATAGCTAGGACTAAACGGCCTAAAGGACAGTTTGATTTAGCTAGATTGCTGCTAGATCTAGGACTATCATCTGACCCACTTATTGACACTACACTGTACTGTTTTTTTTACAAGTACTAGACTCTTAGGCGTTGAAATAATATAAATACACTTAAACTCGATCTAGATCTATGTCAACATTAAATTGTTACCACTGGAAAAAAAAATCGGGCAGTCCTGATATCTGTTTTTATAGATCGCTTGCCACCTAAGGTAAAGATTAAGCATAACAACTAAGGTAAAGATTAAGCGTAACGCGGAGCGAACCGCGCAAATGCCTATACTATAGCCTAGGCCTAATTATTTGCTAATTATTAATTAGGCCTATAGGCCCTAATTTAGTAATTATCATAAAAATAGCCAATGGCTTGGCCTAACCAGCACATATAAAATACATTTATTTTATACAATCCACACCCACTATGACCAAGACAAGAAGTAGGCCTACTACTAAGATCAAGTTGTACCCAAATTAATAATAGCTAGGGGGCACAAGAAAAATAGAAACCTTAGGCTGTAGGCCGACTGACTAAACTGTAAGGGAACAGTAGATCTAGAATTTAGTAGACTTAGGTAAAAGTAATCTATATATATAAAAAGCAATGTATGTGTGTGTGTTTGTCTCAATTTTACAAGGGCGGCATCACGGAAGGGTGCGATTTTTCTCTATGTACGGTATATAAAAATAAAAGTCCGATTTTGGTTTGACACCGTTCATCCGATAGCCATAAGACTTTTTGGGAGATGATTAGAAAACAACCTGGAAGTGTTCTGCAAAAAAAAAATATTTAATTTTGCAAGGGCGGCGCCACGGGAGGGTGCGATTTTTCTCTACATGTGGTATATAAAAATAATTAAAGTAAATTACAGTGACACTGTTCACACGATCGCCATGAAACTTTGGGAAGTTGCTAAGAATATTTCTGGGGAGGTGACTGCGGTAAAAATAATTCAAATTCGCAGGGGTGGAGCCCCGGGAGGGCGCGATTTGTTTTTTCTCTATATACCGTTTATAAAAATAAAAGTCGATTGCGGTTTTACACCGTTCATGCGATCACCATCAAACTTTGGGGAGTTGATAAGAACACTCCAGGGAAGGGTTCAGTAAAAAATCATTTTTAATTTTGCAAGGTCAGTGCCACGGGAGGGTGCGATTTTTCTCTATACGGTATATTAAAAAAAAGATGATTGCAGTTCAACATAGTTTATCCGAGTGCCATAAAACTATAGGGAGTTGATGAATACTCCCGAGAAGGTTTCTGGGGTGGTGGGAGGGGGATTTAATTTTGCATGGGTGGCCTCTAGTATAAAACTAGATTCATTAGTTTGATTATCTCCATCTAACTGGTAGAAAAATGGACTCTTTCTGATTTTACTGTTCCTTAGACAAGTTTTTTTCTCAGTTAGGCCCATAATAGTGATTAGTGAGTCATTAACTTATTAATGAAGAATACTACTGTTATTTGGGATGGCGTAATCATAGTAGAGTCTGCTTCTGATATGATCACCCAGAAGTCCTGAGTTATTATCTCTTGACTTGGGTTGTAGAACATGCCTAAGTCCTCCCAGTTCTGTTGGGTATCTGACTCATACGAAGGCAAGTAAAGGCAGCTAGGCATAGTTCTGATTACACTATCCATTCATATGCCTGGTCACAGATACAGGTGAACTCTACTTTAATTCATCTACCCCATGAACCACAATGTTTGAAGTGTTAACTTTACTTTTTACTTAATACTATTAATACTAGGCCTTTTTTCATATATATATATTAATAGTAGACCTACTAATGCAGTGTTAGTTTGATTGCAACCTAATGTAATATTTTTTTGTAAACGCATTGATCAGTGTTAATCAGATTGTATTTTTTTCTGTAATCCTAGGCCTTTCATTATTAATTAACATTAGTGTACTTAAGACAAGACTTACTAAAACTAAAGTACTATTTATTAGTTTAAATTACTTTGTAGGCAATTTTATTTTTATTATGGATTACTAAATTTTCCAGTAGACCTAACTGAGGGTGACTGTTATTATAATATATATTATTATTTTATATTATATATTATTATATATATAATAACAAAGCTTTATATTTAACTTGATAATATTTAAGAATGCCTATTACCAGTTGATTGAGATTAGGCCTAGTACCTGTTTTGTTTATTTAAGATTTAAATGGATAAAATGTAAAAAATAGTCCTGCATAGTAGCTTATATGACAGTACTATTTTCAACTGCAACCGTTTAGCAAGCCAATTTAAAAAATAAATGTATACATGAGGCTCTATTTCTTCTACAATATTTCAACCTGCTCAGGCTACTGGCCTCTGAACTGACTTACTAGATGTATATAATTATAGATCTAGCTAAATTTAGTAGGGCCTACTCCTTTACTGCAGTTAGTCACGTTATTTATTACATAGGCCTACTTACACAAATATAGGCATGCAATCAGTTTTACATTATATTTTTAAAAAATTTTTTTATATAACCTAAATGCTTTCACTGACAAACTAACATCTATCCCTTGTTTGGTATCATCATCATTGTCATTCCTGTGGACCCCTTGTAGTGCATAAGGGCACAACCATAACTCTCTATCATAATCGGTTCTGGGCCATTCCTCCAAGTTGGGCCCATTTCATTCCAGCTGCTTCTGCTTCACTGACAGCGGAACTTTTCCATGTTTGTTTTGGCCTACCCACTTTCCTTGGGGATTCCATTGTAGTGACAATATAACATTGGTATATAACATTGATTTCCCTATTCCCATAATTAAACAACCAGTGGTTATTTCATCCACCACTTCCCTGACCTTCAGCTTTTAAATGTATATCATAAAACATCATTTTCAAAAGCTATTCTTGTTTAAACTTATTGTTATGTTTAATTCTAGGTAAATCAGTGGACCTCCAAGATAAGAAAAGAGGGATACAACATTGAGAGACAGGTCAAAGGTAACATTTACTGATTTTCATTATTTTGTGCCGTCACCTTGTCCCCTATTTTAATCTGCTTGAAGCATTTGTTTTTGTTTTTTGTATTCATGAATTATTTTGATCTATAGCAATTCAAAGAGAAGAAGAGAAAACCAAACGCATGATTAAGGAGGCTGCAAAGAAAGGTGATAGAGACTCATGTAGAATGCTTGCTAAAGAAATTGTGAAGGCTGACAAGCAGATCAATAAGCTGTATGCTTCAAAAGCTCATTTGAATTCAGTGCAAATGAGTATGAAACATCAGCTAGGTAAGAATTTGGCTATTAAATAATACTTGAAAATCTTGTTTTACACACTCAAACTTACAATTGCTGTTTTCTATGCAAGTTTTAATTTTATTGAATTGTTTGTGTTAAATTGTAAATTTTAGAATTAGTCATACCTACTGTTATTTTTTTTTTATTTTAGTGTTATTTAAATTTTTGAATAATTTTTATTTTTGCACGATTTGCTGTATAATGTAAGTAAAAATTATTCAATATATTGAATTGTTTATCCGCTTACAAAAATTACGAATAATTAACTTAACACACAGCTACCCTCAGAATGGCTGGTGCTTTAGCTAAAAGTACAGAGGTGATGAAAAGTATGCAGCAGCTGATTAAAGTACCTGAGATTCAAGCCACAATGAGAGAGTTATCAAAGGAAATGATGAAGGTGAGATAAACCTAAGGTAACTTATAAACTTGATAAGTGTTCTCAGTGCATATTTTTTACTAACAGGAAAAGTTGCTGAAATGTACATTGTGTTACTACTATAAATATCTAAAACAATATTCAATTAGTTTTTTTTATAAATTTGAATTAATCCAGTGCCTTCAATATGTAAGCCCTGCTAGGGGGGGATACCTAATATCTACCCTTCTAGGCTTATCTAACTAACTACTGTCCGGTCAGTGCAAGCCCGGATAAACCCAGACTGGTTAATAACCTAACCTTAGTCTAAAATAAAAAAAAACTACTAAAATAAAACAAAAAAACTTAAACAATATAATAAAATTTATTTAACAAAATAATAAATATGGAACCAAAAGTTATTATAAAAAAACCAGAATCTAGATCTAGACAAAATAAAACACTCAAGACATACAAAACAAACAGAACTCAACGAAACAAAACACCCAATTTCGGACCACTGTCGTTACCATACACCACATAAACGTGACACAGAAACTCTTCAACACACAGGCCTCGACATTCCAGCCGAATGTCCCTCCCTGTCGACACACCACATTCACGAACAAAGAAACCAATACTACGAACAAAGAAACCAATGCTACGCACAAGAAAATAGTCCCTAATACAATAATAAGTAACATGCAGGACATAAAGCAAAGTGGAGCAACAATCCAAAACAAAGTTTGCATAAATAATAACATTAAAATATAAACAAGACACAATAACCAGGCTACAAACCATTGTAAAATCAAAATCATATCAGCGCCATAATAGCGGACTACTTAACTAAAAACCACAACAATCCCCAAAGGAACATAAAAAGCGACATTCGCCTTCTTAGTTACAAATAATTATAATAACAGATAAACACACTCCAGCCGCTCACATACACGCTCCTTAAAGCTTGCGGTCACCGCAAGCTAAATAACTTGAAAAAAATCAGCCCACAGGGCACAATCATAATTTTACAAAAACAAAAACTTTGCAAAAAAAACCAGCCCACAGGGCACAATCACAATTTCTGCAAAACACAATTTTGCAAAAGAACTTGCAAAAAAATCAGCCCACAGGGCACAATCATAAATTTTACAAAAAACAAAATTTTGCAAAAAAATCAGACGATGTGGCTGTAGCAGCCGGCGGTACAACTTTGACCGGCCTTGGGGAGGGCGGTTGAGCCTTGGGAGGCACATATCTCCTAATCTGTGTGCTGGCCACCCGGCGGGTGCCAGAAGGGCCATCTTTCTTTTTAATGGCGTAACACCCGCCGGTGATCGGAGGTAATTCGACCACGACATAAACTGTCGGGCCGTCCAGGTCTGCCATTTTGCGTCTGCCTAGTGGGGGTTGTCTCAGAAGGACCAGGTCGCCTATGGCCAGTTCAGCTACAGGTGCCTTTTTGACCAGTTTGTCCTTCTTGCTTGACTCTGTCTGAGGGCATGCCCCAGAACCACCACCTGGTGCCTTAATTAAGGATGGGTTAGGTGGAACCATTGCCTCTAGTTCCTCAGATTGGTCCACCTTTACACTGGTTATGCTGGCGCGTAGGCAGGATGTTGGGCCTGATACCACTGACGGATCTGGGTGAAAAGGTTGGTCTAATGACCGGACAGTAGTTAGTTAGATAAGCCTAGAAGGGTAGATATTAGGTATCCCCCCCTAGCAGGGCTTACAAATTGGTAGCACGAGTGGGGTTCGAACCCACGCGGAAATAATTCCATTGGATCTTAAGTCCAACGCCTTAACCACTCGGCCATCGTGCTTCCTCGTGGTCTGGATAAAACAAACATTGAGACTCAACGAAACAAAACACCCAATTTCGGACCACTGTCGTTACCATACACCACATAAACGTGACACAGAAACTCTTCAACACACAGGCCTCGACATTCCAGCCGAATGTCCCTCCCTGTCGACACACCACATTCACGAACAAAGAAACCAATACTACGAACAAAGAAACCAATGCTACGCACAAGAAAATAGTCCCTAATACAATAATAAGTAACATGCAGGACATAAAGCAAAGTGGAGCAACAATCCAAAACAAAGTTTGCATAAATAATAACATTAAAATATAAACAAGACACAATAACCAGGCTACAAACCATTGTAAAATCAAAATCATATCAGCGCCATAATAGCGGACTACTTAACTAAAAACCACAACAATCCCCAAAGGAACATAAAAAGCGACATTCGCCTTCTTAGTTACAAATAATTATAATAACAGATAAACACACTCCAGCCGCTCACAAATAATACAAAGAAAATGTTACCATTGATCCAAAAAAGCCCAAATTTTAATAATTGATAGTACTGCTTTTATTATACTTTATCTTGATTTTTATTTCTAGACCGTGCCAAAAGCACCTTAAATAGTTATAACTGTAGATAAAGCACCTAATATTGCTATTTTTTAAATAAGTTTGAAACTATCCTGTACAACACTTTTCCTTAAAAATGATTTGAAAATGTACTATCTCTAAGGCTGGTATAATTGAAGAAATGATGGACGATACAATGGAGGCGCTTGATGATGAAGACCTCGATGAGGAGGCTGATGAGGAAGTTGACAGGGTATTATATGAAATAACTGCTGGTTAGTATTGTCTTGTTTTTTTTATTGCTTCATAATTGTTCTTTTATTTATCTGATGCACATAGTATTTTTTTTTAGCTGAGTTGAAAATAATATATATGAAGTATTTGGTTACGTAGATCTTAAACATGCTTTTGTGATAGAGTTTTAAAAATCTAAAACAATTGTTTGATTACCCATAACATTAGTGATAGTTAAAAACTTACCTAAAGTTGTTTGATTGCCATAATTGTAACCTTGTTAACTTTAATGGGGTAATATAAAATGAAAACAACTTAAAGGTAGTTAGATTGACCTAATCTTTAACTTGATAACATTTGTAGATGAGTTTTAAAAAAGCGTTACATTTTATTCATTTACCTGATTGTCATTGTGCTCATATTGTAGTTAAAAAAGAAAACTTAAAATTGATCGATATGTTCTTCTACTTGCAGGTGAGCTGGGTAAAGCCCCCGCTGCCGTTGAAGATTCGCTGCCAGAAACAGAAGGTGCTAGAGCTGCTCCGTCACGAGCTGGACCATCACGGGTTGCTGCTGCTGCTGTTGCGCTGGAAGAGGATGATGATGATGAAGACATGGATGATATGAAAGCCAGACTAGAGGCTCTTAGAAGCTGATGGTTGAAGAAGTTTGGAATGGTTAAAAAAACATCACACATCTTTTTAATATAAAAAGTAAAAAAAAAATGTAAACCACTGTTTATAGTTTGTCAGTTCTGATCACTACAGCATTACATTACCTTAAACTCATCATTACTAGAAAGAAATATAAGCACTTGAACACTTCAAATTTTAAAGTTTATTATTGGTTTAAACTAATGTTTTCTTAGTAATTACTGCCATACTTTAATCATTATATACATATCTTGTTATCATACCTAAAATAAACCTTGGTTGCAGAACATTTTCAATACATTTCTAACAATAATATATATAAATAGAAATTAAAATAAGAATCCTCAAATATTTTGTTTTGTTTAATGAATGATGTACTTAATATTTATTTTTGAAATTTATTCATTCCAATTAAATTTCAATACCACGTTTTCTTTTTTAAAATTAAATTGAAGAAATGAATTACGATAGACATATTGACTTTATTACAAATTCAGTATATCGATAAAAAAAAAGATTTATAAACTTTTAAAAGCAAAATAAATGACAGATGCTGACAAGATTTATTTTTAAACTATGTTTCATAAACATGTCATATTTGATATAATTACTCTAATGAATTGTAAATACAATTAATTTTGTTCTACAAAAATATGATTTTAGTGGAAAATAAAAAAAATTACTGGTATGTGTCATAAAATATTGATTTTTTTAAAAATTAATTATTACTTTCATTTTAATTTCATGCTTTTTGTGTAACTCATTCCTAAGAAATTAAGTAGTTATCCATTTTGTTATATCCATTTACCTTTATGTTGGGCTGTTATGGTCTCAAGTTGTATATTTCTATATATGTGGTGGAATCTACAATGAATTTTTAGTACATTCTACTGTCATTGCTTAATCCCAATAGTTTAAATGTCCGGCCATTACCTTTTGTGAGAGACATTATGTATCATCAGCTGTGGTCAGACATGATGTACACATCAGCTGTGGTCAGACATGATGTACACATCAGCTGTGGTCAGACATGATGTGCACATCAGCTGTGGTCAGACATGATGTACACATCAGCTGTGGTCAGACATGATGTGCACATCAGCTGTGGTCAGACATGTACACATCAGCTGTGGTCAGACATGATGTGCACATCAGCTGTGGTCAGACATGTACACATCAGCTGTGGTCAGACATGATGTACACATCAGCTGTGGTCAGACATGATGTGCACATCAGCTGTGGTCAGACACGTACACATCAGCTGTGGTCAGACATGATGTGCACATCAGCTGTGGTCAGACATGATGTACACATCAGCTGTGGTCAGACATGTACACATCAGCTGTGGTCAGACATGTACACATCAGCTGTGGTCAGACATGATGTACACTTTGGTGAAAAACGAGGTTTGGGCTGTAGACAAAATGAGTCTTGTTATTCAAGATGTTGTAGCCAACAATTTCTTGGCATGGTAGGTCTACACCGCTATTTATTTCCAGTTACTAAATTTACGGAATGGGTTCTTGATTAAAATTCTTCTGTAAATATTCAAGCAGAAAAAAAACAGTAGGGCTTGATTTGGTGACTGAATCTTCATATAAAAATGTGCCACTATTGAAAATGACACATTTTTGTTTATATTTCTTTACTGCTCACAAAATTAGTTTATTAGTTTTGTGAAATAATTTTTTTTTGTTTTAACATCAACTTACTTCATTTATCACTATCATTTTGTTCAACTACTATTGTTTTTTTTTTAAATTACAGTACCATTGAAATACTGTTGAGATAGTTAAAAGATAAGGGAGCTTAATCTGTCTGAACAAATCTTTGTTTTTCTGATTCAATTACACCAAATTTAAATTGTGCCTAGCAGTGTTGAAAAATATTGAAGTGCCATGAGAATTTCAATCACAAAATTTTATGTTGTATGAAAAACCAAATCAAATTTTTTTGAAGATTTGTGCCTAAACATATTGGGTTAAACAAACTGGCTTATGTTTTAAATACTATATCTTATTTATTAAAGACAAAAGTAGACAAACATTTGAACCATTGTATTTTATGCTTGAATTGTTTTATAAGTGTAAATTGAATTTAAATGTGGTTTTTTAATGGTAGTAAAAAAATTATATCATGTTGTTGCTGACATTGTGAAAAGTATTTGAATGATGATTTCTGAAATGGTGGAAATATATTTTTTTTCTAAAGTGTATTCATTTAATGATGGGGATAGAAAAAAAAAGAACAATTTATTTATATCATTGTAGTTGAGTATTTTGAGTTTAAAAAAGTGAATAAAAATGTTTTTAAAAATGTAATCAGATTTTTTTAAATCAATAAAGCAGAATCTTCTATCTATCTATCTATATATATAATTCTCTTCTGGGATCAGTTAGAAAACAAGCTGCAAGCGCCTCCTTGCAGTCCCCTCTCTTTCTCTCTATCACTATCACTACCACCCCCACCCCACCCCCACATGATCTGGTGAGCGGTGTTCACTCTGTTTACATTTTACAATCATAGAGACGGGTTTGGTGACGGCTATTAGGGGCAGATAATTTAGTTTGAAACGATTTTAAACTTAGAGGAGGTAACTAAGAGGAGGCTGCTTTCACGTGGGGGGGGGGGGGGTAGTGTTTTTAAGCAAATATTTTCAATGGCAGCATTGGTACTGTCGAATTCACAAATTATAAATTACTGAAAAGTAGAAAAAAAAAACAACTAAATAGCGGCGTATGATACGCAGCGGGTCGGCTGGTAATTTATATTACATAAGGTTCACATACTGTGACATAAGGTTCACATACTGTAACAAACCATAGTAGTTCTAACTTTAAATTACATAAGGTGAACACAGTAGCAACCTGCTGTATATGATATCACATAGGGTAATCGACCCTACCATGGGATCAAATAAGGTGATCAAGATGGTAATCATCCCCCAACATGAGGTCATGCAAGGTGACCAAGATGGTAATCTACCCTACCATGGGAACATATTAAGTGAGCACAGTAGCAGAAAAGACAAGTATAGAGGTCAGTAGTCCATCTGATAAATGGCACACCACAGAGCAGTCAACAAAGTGTTAGAAAAATGTAACACATCAAAGTTAGACTAGTTAGTAGGAAATGGGGGATTATTCAAGATTTATTTAAATAAACGACCTTCCTCAAACTTTGTTAAGCAGATAAATACATATTTCCCTATCCCAAAAAAACAAAACCTGATACAACTTTGTAGACCTAGAAAATCTTAACTTTAAGCAACAATAAATGTTAATCTACTAGATTCTCTAGAGATCTTATTTTCAGAGACTTTTTATTGCCCCAGGTTTTGTTGACATTAATATAAAAGAAAAAAGGAATATGTTAAAAGATTTAGTTGTTGCCAAGCAACCCCCCCCCCTCCCTTACCTTCCAGTTTAACCACTTGCCACTTAGCATGGCATTTAGTATTTAGGCCTAGAGTTGAGTTCCAAATTAAAATTAGATCTAATCTAGATTCTAGAACTATTAGTATTATTGCTGATTTAGATTTCTAACTCCATTCTTGATGGAATAGATTCAATTTTTGTTATAGATCTAGATCTAGAACAGGTAGAATTCTTCCAGCAGAATGCTAACATCTTAAGCAAACTGGAACCCTGAACTTATTATTTTAAAAAATCATGGATTGTAATAATTAGTTTTTAATTATGAAATATTTAACCGAATAAAAATAATAAACCTGAGTAGTAAAGCAGAGTTGTGCTCCTTGACAACACATAATCCTGCCTCGACCTTTTTGTGTTATTATATCACAGCTAGGAAGAAAGTAGGGCCAAAAACAGGACAGTCCTATCCAACAACAATGATGCTGGGGAGTCGACCAACTTTCTGCCGTACGGTATGTCACATTATTTTTATTCTACATTCCAGAAATGTTCAGAAAGAAAGGTTTTAACTTCATTTTAGATCTACTCACTGACCTAGGCTACCAAAAATAAATAAAATTTTAGCCAGGACCATAAAAAACAGTGCTTGTCAGTCGATCAACCGAGTGGGTATCAGAGTTCATAGTCCACTTCAGTTTTCACCAGTTATCTAGATTCTAGATCTAGATCATCTCTAAAATATTATTAATATAGATTTTAATAGGCCTAACGTCCACAAACATTTTTATCAGACTTCTCAGACAGATCTACTACAGTAGACTAGACAGTAGACTATACAGTGACAGCTTTTAATTGTTATTATCATTATGATGAGTATATTGAACTTGAACTATATTGATTGATATAACCTAGAATTTAACCTAAGCCATAATCCATACTAAATAAAGAAGTCACTACTCACAGTACACAGACTTAAAAAAGAAATATTTATAGCACATCTACGATGCCTAACTAAAGTTTTATGCTTGCCTAGCCTACTCTTATAAAATAATAATCTTACTGCTGTTAGTCTAAATCAAGGGTCTCCAAACTTTTCAGTCCGAGGGCTGCATTAACTATCAGATTTCAGTTCAGGGGCCAGTTTCTTCCAGGCATGTCTTTGATTTTTCTGGGCAAAGTTCATTAGCCATCACCAACAAACGATATTTCCGTGGACAAAAACATCTCCGCGGGCCGGATCAGATGACTTCGCGGGCCGCATCTGGCCCACGGGCCGTAGTTTGGAGACCCTGGTCTAAATGCCTATATCTTACGACGTGTATGTCTATTCCATTGATCTTTTACTTAGGGCCTATTTACTAGACATTAGAGTTGATTTGCGAATCTAAGATATTTTACTTAAATTGATGGGCTTATAGGCCTACTAATTAGACAACTTAATTCATAATTTTTCTATTGAATAATTAGTCTATTTTTTACTTTACGGCAAGGAGATAAAAGATCATGTTATGAAAATTTTACATGTATTCTGATTATGGTTATTCTATGTTCTATTTATTATGATAATTAAAAACACTAATCTTCATTCCCTGAATCTATGCTACAGTTATAAAGTACTATGAGTTCCACTTATTCATGTTTTTTTCTTATAGTTTGGAGTGTTAAAGAGGCTAAAAAGCACATTAGTTATTGTTGAACACAACAATGAGAAACTCGCACCGTGCACCTTAAATGCTGTGACAGCTGCGTCAAAAATTGGAGGCGACATCTCATGTCTTGTATTTGGAAAAAACTGTTCTAAGGTAGGCCTACACTACATTCTTTTTATTATTATTATATTATAAGCTAATTCTTTTTCAGTGATGCTATAATTTTATTTAGCTGATTTTTTTAAAATATAACTTTTTTTGTGTTAGGTTGCACAGGAAGCCAGCAAACTAAAGGGTGTTTCCAAAGTACTGTTAGCTGAAAGTGATGTCTTCAATGGATTTTTACCTGGTACTGTTTTTTAAAGTCCATCTAATTGTCTTTTTAAAAATTGTACTGTAATTAATGACTAATCTGAACGACATTTAAAACAAATTTAATTCAACTCACCCAACAAATAAAGATATACATTTTGTTGTAAAGATCCTGTTTGAACAAGGGGAGCATAGATTTGGCCAAATTATGTTGAAGCAATATTTAGGTCCTGTATTTTATGCGGTATAGCATACATAAAATATTTTTCCCTTTCTAAAATATGCTTTTGTAATATTGGGTGTATTGTGTCGACAATCTATTATTTGCTTCTTAAAATACTCTTAAAGTATATAAGAGTAACCCAACTTCCACCACTACGTACAGCCATACCATATTTTAGTGTTGCTGTTTTTAGTACCAGATAAGCATTAACACTCATAGTTAGAAAAAGAAACATGTATGTTGTACCTTTCTGTTTCTAACAGAGGCAGTAACACCATTTTTGGAAGCCACACAAAAGCAGTTTAAATTCACTCACATTCTAGCCCCAGCTACTGCCACTGGCAAGGTAATTTGCACCTTCAAGACATAAAAATTTTTAGACAAAAGTTACATAAAAAACCAAATGAGCTATTGTGGAACTATTTTGACACTCTCATTACTGACAAAGTAAATTTTTAAAGAAAAATTGTAAATTGCAAGAAAGGCTTATTATTTTCTTAAACTTTATATATATCATGATTTAATTTGGTATTTCAATATAAAGGCTTTAATAATTAGCATTTTTTCATTTATAACTTATCCTATCACTATTAAAATCATTATATTAGTTATTTTCTATATTATATTTGAATGGATAGTCTGTATTAATACCAATTTTTTATTGTGTACAGAATATTTTACCTAGATTAGCAGCCAAACTTGATGTTTCTCCAATTTCTGAAATAACTGGTATCCAAGATGAGAGCACATTTATACGAACAATTTATGCAGGTATGTCAAAAAAAATCCTATGAGCACGTACTAAAAGTTTAATATGACAAATGATTATTAAGTTCATTGTATAGTTGAATGAGACAAAGTAAGGTGAAAATTTGCCTTTTATATATTCTCTTAATAAGTTAATGACTGGCTGTCATTCTACTGTTCATGTTGAAAATATCTTGTAGGTAATGCTGTACAGACAATTAAATCTAGTGAACCAGTCAAGATTATAACTGTACGAGGTACATCGTTTGAAGCTGCAAAGCTAGACGGCAGTGCTGCGGTAGAGAAAGGTAAGTGCTTTAAGTGTGGGCTGGTTACATGTGTTGGTTGTGTTGGCCTACTTGATTGTTGTTACAATATGTATACAAAGTTTGCTAGTTTTTATCTGATGCAGAGTATAAAGTAATGAAATGTTTCTTCTAGTCCAATGTGAAGGCAGCAAGAGCTCTTCTTCTGAGTTTGTTGGTCAAGAGTTAAGCAAGAGTGACCGTCCTGAGCTGACCAGTGCCAAGGCTATTGTTGCAGGAGGTACTAGGCTTAGAAATAATTTCTCTTTAATTTGTCGGATATTTATGTTGTAGTTTGAAATGACGTATGATTATTAAATACATTATTTGGCACCCCCCCCCCCCCCACCCCTCTTAAAATTTCATTGCACTTTTGTAAACAGTTAAACATTGAAAATAAATACGTATTTTTAACCATGTAAAGAGTGGGGTTCTATGCACACTAAGAGACAATGTGAACAGCACTAGATTTTTTGCAGTTTATCATGAATCTATTTTTGTCTAGCTTTTAAGGAAATGCACCATAAAATGCCTTGTTAGATAATTAATTATCTTGTCACAACTGGATTAATCAGTTGTAGTGATCAGAGACTTAGATGAAGATGGCTGCGGGAAAGTAAAATACTTTTCCTTGAAGTGAGATAAGCGAAAGGGGTTTTTAGAGTTATTTCCCTTACATGTTCTTTTATGACTAGCTTTCTTTGAATTGAATTTAAATGTATCCCAACAAAAACTGCTTTTTTTGTTAGTAAATAACAAGTTATTTATCCAAGCCATTCTTGTAGAATCAATAAGTTGTTTAACTTAACAGGTAGAGGCATGAAGAGTGGAGACAATTTTAAACTGCTGTATGACCTGGCGGACAAGCTTAACGCTGCTGTTGGTGCCTCCCGTGCTGCTGTTGATGCTGGCTTTGTACCCAACGATATGCAAGTGGGGCAGACAGGGAAAATTGTTGCTCCTGTAAGTTTGACAACTACGATGTGGCTATTAAAACAAAGGGCAGTTGTTTAAACACAATGAATGCTTAGTTCAATTGTTATTAAAATAATTTGATGTTAAAGTTACATCATGCAGAACAAGCATACAAGAGCATTGTTTGATATTTCAGGAACTTTACATAGCAGTAGGCATCTCAGGAGCCATCCAGCATTTAGCTGGGATGAAAGACAGCAAAGTTATTGTGGCAATCAACAAGGATCCAGAGGCACCAATCTTTCAGGTCGCAGACTTTGGATTGGTGGAAGATTTGTTTAAGGTGAGATTCTTGTGCTGGCGTTAGTTGACCTGTGTACCCCAACCTGCCTCTGTGCCATGTAATGCAACAGCTGACATCTGAACCACGTAATGCATTAGCTAACATCTGTGCCCCGTAATGCATTAGCTAACATCTGTGCCACATAATGCAACCAAACAGTTAAATTTTAATTACATATTTTGGTTGCATCAATTTTATAATTAATTTTAATTACTTTCTTTTCAATAGGCTGTCCCAGCAATGACTCAATTACTCAGCAAGAAATAAGGGAAACAACTACAGCATGACCAAGTTGTTTTTTTATCACACAAGCCTATCCCTGTGATAGAAATATTCTATTTCTTTTTTTTTTATATTGAGGTTGCATTTAAACCAATTTTAATGGTTTTCTTAGACTGAAAAAAATGTTGTTTGATTATTTGCATTGCAAAGACTTTACTGCAATACCATATAATCAGTGTCACAATATTTGATCATAATTCTTGTGTTGAACATTATCATACTTTTGAAAGCCAGAATGTATGCTTGTATTTAAGTATTGACATATTGCAGTAATTAAGCTATGTAGTCATGTCTAAAATTGTTATGTTTAGGTGAATAAAGTAAAGATTAAATTTTTTGTTAGGATTGTTCAATCCAAGTAAAATGAAATAAACATTTTATATGAACCATGGAACTGTATTGTATCCTCTCTAAATTGTTGTGCTAAGTTTAACTTTAAGGGGCAAATAATAAGGCGCTAATACACAGGTGCTCTGCTGAAATCAGTCGACATTATGGTTGAGATCAGTTGCCAGCAGTAGTGTGTTAGGAGCTCATCGTCACTTGCTAGATAACCAGTGCCTTGCCAAAGTCCTGAGCTTGGCTAATCCGAAGCCTTTAGATAGGTTGCTAATTTTGGTTATTTATACTGAAGGACGATGCCTATTGCCATGCTAAACATCTGAGCTAGGCTGACAAAGGCTTGTGATCGGTTGTAAGCAGTGGTCAGCGGTTAAGATGCAGGCAGCTGATGTAAAACTAACTGTATTGTATCCTCTAGCGATGTTTTATAAAGCTAGCGTTGTTGGTGCTCCAGCGGAAAAAGATTTCTGCTAATATGGACTTCAAGCCTACAGACTTTTTTTTTAAGGAATCAAAGATCCACCAACCAATTCTTTTAATCTCATAAGTATAACAAAGTAGGTCCAGCATAACAAAATTGATCAAGCATAACAAATTTAGGCCAGCATAACAAAGTTGGGCCAACATTGAGAACTGAAGCCATAAATTATTACAAACCTAGACCAAAATTGTCAATGTATACTATCACTACAAACCTAGGCAATTATTGTCAATTTATGCCATCACTACAAACCTAGATCAAAATTGTCAATTTACGCTACCACTACAAACCTAAGCAAAAATTACCAACTTGGGCCATCATTACAAACCCTGGCCACAATTACCATGTTAGGCCATTATTAAAAACCTAGGCCAGGCCGACATCATCAATTTATGTTATCCAACATTTATAGATTGCGCAACTAGCTACACCATCGTCTGCAAGTGACGTAAGGTCAACCGTTTTGATTGGTTTTGATCAGGCGATCACGGGCCTTTTTTCTCAATCACCAGGCTATTTTCTCGCCAACGCATAACCGGTGCAGTTCTGTTTTTTGGTCAATTTTATTTTTGGTCAGTGTTTCAGGTAACTGAACTACATTATTATATTCTGCCTGTTCAATCTTACCATTGTGTTACATTTAATGGAAATCTCAAGGTCACCACATGTCAGAGGCGTATCCAGGTTTTCGATGTAGGGGGAGTGGAAATAGCAAAAAAGGCGCCGAATTTGTAATATCTTCTATATAAGTATATATATATATATATATATATATATATATATATATATATATATATATATATATATATATATATATATATATATATATATATATATATATATATATATATATATATATATATATATATTAGCTGCATGTGTTTGCTTCGCTATGATGTAAAATAAATCGAAATTAGCACGCTGAAGAAATAAAAAAAAACACACAATGTAGGCCGACAAAAAAAATGGTATTCTCTAAACCAATATATATATTTAAATATATATATATATATATATATATATATATATATATATATATATATATATATATATATATATATATATCTTCTAATATATAAAGCTCAGTTCTGTATGTAATGCATATGTTTGTCGTTGGTCTTGGATGAATTTAAGTGTTAGAAAATTATCGTGCGCATTTGTCTAAATTTATGAGCTAAAAAATTACTATTGAAAGTGTTGGGAAATAATTTTCATTTTTCAAATTATAGTAATAATTGTCGGCATGTTCATTAAACACAAGTTTTAAAAAAATATCATCTTTTACAAAAATTCTAATTATGTCTTTATTTAGTCCTATAGCACTTATTTCCCTTTGATAAATTAGGAAAACAAAATTACTTCCCTTTATAAAACCATTGCATTTTGTGGAAAATAATTTACTTTTTAATTACTTTGTTTTGGTGTTGGGAAAAAAAAAATAATTACATAATTAGCGGGGATTGATCAAGTGCAAATGTTGTAGGTATTTTACGGATAAGCTTGGAGTATTAAAATTGTTCATTAAATTGAAACTGGCGCGTTCGTTTAAGTGAGTGCAAAAGACTATGAATAAGTTGGGGTACTATAGTCGTTCATTAAGCTAAAACAGGTGATTCCGCCCCGGGCATTTATGTTCGCGTTAGTGTTTTCTTTGTGTTTAGGTGGGTTTGCGTTAGTGGTTGCGTTTTGATTTGGTTCGTTTTTGTTCTTTCTTTTTTCGTTTTTGTTTGTGTTTTTTTGTTTGGGTTTGTATTTGTGTTTTTGGTTGGTTTTGCGTTTGGATTTGGTTTGTTTTCGTTTGCTTTTTCGTTGTTTTTTTTTTTTGTTGGTATTGGTGTTTGTGGTTGGGTTTGTTGTTAGGTTTTTGTTTTCGTTTGCTTTTTTGTTTGTTTTTTCTTTGTGTTTGTGTTGGTGTTTGTGGTTGTGGTTGGGTTTGTTGTTAGGTTTTTGTTTTCGTTTGTATTTGTAATTGTGTTAGCGTTATGTTTGCGTTTTTTTGTTTTGGTTGGTTGTGGTTTGGGTAGGCAATGCCGGGTTTATGATGATTACTAAACACACAGGTAATGGTCTTTAACAGAAAGGTTTTTCACAGAAGCCAGAGCAGGGCCTGGCCGGGACGGCTAGTATCTATAATCTATAATATAAGCGGGCTGGTAGTGTGTCAGTCCTTCCTTCCTTCCTTCCTTCCGTCATCGCTATAGATTTTGGAACCATAAAAGTAAACATTCGCACCACGCAGTGCTTTTCAGTGCACCGCAGTGTCTTATTATAAGTATTAGAGTAGGGTTTGTTTATATAGTGGCATAGAGCTATTTTATAATTTCCACTGTTTGTACAATTTTGCATAACGTAAAGAGAATATTAAATACACGCACATTGCTAAAACATATTAAAAGGATCAATGTCAAATATAGTTTTCGTTAATATTCCTAGAAAAAGTGGATACATTTTAATAACATAATAACAGTACGGTAGAAAAATCAAATTAATTTAACTCTTTTTTTCTAATTTTGACAAAGGAGGTAATTTAAAAATACATTTAAACTCACGCTAATAAAAAATGTGAATGCAAATATACGTTCGTCATAGAAGGAATTAGTGTTGCAATAATATAATTAGCAAAATGTGAATGCAAATTATTCGGATGTGTAAGAGGAAATTATTGTTAGAAAATTATAATTAGCATGGATTGATAAAAGGCAATCTTTTATTTATTTTATTCACTGAATGTAGGCCCTACTGTTTATTACTTATAATTTTTAATCAACTATTCAGCACTATTATAGATGCGTCATCACGTTCATTAGGTGCGCAATGGTTTTAGTTATGAAACTCTTTTGTAAATTTTTAAAATTTAAAGTACTGGAAAAAATGCGTGAATGGATAAAGTGAAATAGTGTAGGTAAAACACGGTATTTTAAATACTGCCTATTATTTATACAGTTTTCTAATTATTATTCTATCTTTCGGGTTTTATAGGAGAGGCGTAGCGAGGGGGGGGGGCATATGTCCCCGGGTGCCGACCTTAAGGGGCGCCAAAGTGGGTTGGAAAAAATTTGCGAGGGGGGGGGGGGTGGAAATCGACCGTTTTAGGGCGGGGGGGGGGGGGGGGAAAGGGGTGCAAATCGAAAGTTTGAGGGGGGTGCAAATCACCGGAAAGGGCGCGATTTGGCGCTACGGGCTAGACTATGAGCAATATGTCTTTATGATTGCATTTAAATTGTGTTTAAGTTATGAGTGTTGTGTTTGTTTTTTCGTTTTTTTTTTGTTTTTTTTTTGCGTTCGTTTGTGTTGTGTTTAGTTTTGTTCTGTTGGTACATTTAAAAAAGATTTAGCGTGGCGGAGCACGGGATGCAGCTAGTATATATATATAATCACAATTCCTGGGACATCTATTAAGGCTAGCAGATAGGGGAAATAATTAATATCTTAATATGAATATGTATATGTCTACACATTTTATTATAAATATCAAAATGAATCAGCAATTACTTTAGATTCTAATAAAGTAGCTTAATACTATTCGTTTTTACAAAAATATTTTGTCTACAATCAGAATTAAATATATTGTCATCATAAATGCTAAAGTATTACAGCATATTGAAAGTTTTTAAAATCAGAGTTGGTATAAAAGCCAGCTTTTCAAAGTAGTTGTAATACATTCGGAATAATAGCTTACATATAACTAAAATAACGTCTTACAATTCAGATCATGCACTTTATTTAATTAGCTACTGACTTTTTGTGTTCTTTAAAGATAATTTTTTTAACATAATGAGAAGGTATGGGTTAGATCACTGTATTGCTCACACACCTTTTACTGGTAATTGCAAAAACAATATTCACAGAGATTTACATTTCAAATGTGCGGACCAAAGATCATTTTTTTAACAAATATCAATGTTTAAAACTTTGAGTTTAAAAAGTTTCCAAAAAGGCGCCACTTTGCTAAAATGGCCAGAGGGGGAGCGGCTGCTCCCCCTGCTCCCCCCCCCCCCCCTGCGTACGCTACTGCCACATGTACTATCATTGACTTTGACCAGTTGTGCTTCCGCTATTTTCAAGAACTTTTTAAAAAAATGTTTTAACGCTACAAGGCGTCAAAAAGATTATATTTTTCTTTGTAGGCAAACATATTGTACAAGAAAATACATGGATTTAGTTTAAAGCTATCTTAAAATGTGCTTACAAAAAAATAAAAAAATCGAACAATAATATTTGAATGTATTTGTAATGAAAAGAAAAACAAATTAAAATATTCACAAAAAAAAGATCCAAGTAAAATTTAACTATAATTACAAAATACTTTGGTATGATTGGTTTTTTTGTGTTTTTTGGAACCCCCCCCCCCCCCCCCCCCCCCAAAAAAAAAACCAAAAAAACAAATTAATACAATTAGTAAAACAATGAACTGTCTCAGTTAAACTAAACGTATTGCGAAAAAACTCGACATCTTCGGGATAGGCGAGTTTAAATACTTTTTTTTCAGTATTTAGAAAATGATGTAGCCTAGAGAGCTAGCAGTTTGTTGCACATCATCAATAATAATCAAATTTACACCGGCAGTGTTCA